AAAAATAATAAACAGAGCCCAAATCATATCTATGCGTAGAAAAACTCAAGCGGCGGAAGGGGCGGCGATATAGTGAACAACGCCGGCCTCGTTCAGCGCCGCCGCCAGCTGTGCCTCTTCCGCCACGTCAGCGGCGGCTGGGGTTCCAGGGTTGTAATCCAGTGTGTCGTCATTATATACGTCCCACCACTTGGCCACTAGCATCTTGATATCCTCTCTGTCCATGTTTTGTTCTTCGCCGGTGTAGCGCCATGGCTTAGACCCCGCCGCACAGTAGTGCACCACCTTCACTTCCTCAAGCTTCACATTCTCCGGATGGCGCCAAAGCATGGCTAACACAAGATTGTACACATTTGGGATCGGCTTGTATTTGTCCTTGAAGAACATGTTCAGAAAATCCTACACCAATTTTTTTCACGAGTTAATAATATTTTAATGTCAGAGTAATGGTCAAAATTGGGTCAACGATTGATTATTACCTGTTCGGCGAATGAAGTTGGAGTGGTGATTTTCAGCTTTCGCAATAGGTCGTGGTAAGTGGGGAGACTGGGCTCGAACACGAACATGCCAGCGTTGAAGTAGAGAGCGGGCTTTGGGCCCAATTGTTTGGGCCACTTGACCCGATCCGGACACTGCTGGCAGTACCCGATTTGGTACTGAGGAGTGTGGCTCCATGTCTTCTCGCAAAAACAGTCCATCACAGCATAGAAGTAGCCATTGGGCAAGTCAAACAGATGGTCAATGTTATCGAAAACCTGAATGTCTCCATCCAAATATATCATCTTGCTGTACTCCACAAACTGCAAACACACATCAAGATCGAATTAATTAGAATTTCAATTCAATGAAATAGATATCCTAAGTAATTACAAAATTTTCCTGCCTAATTGCCTAAACATACTTAATCATTAGCCAATTATACATTTAAGAAAAAAATATGCACACTTTTCATATACATGATTGTTTTAATTTAAAAAAAAAACATTTTTTTTTTCAAATAGTATGGTCCTGATGATTCACACAAAAATTTAAATTTATAAATTACACCATAATTTATAAAATCCTAAAAAAGGTAAAGTTAGTCAATAACTATACAAAAATGGCTTTTATTTTTTTTTTATTTTTTTATTTTTTTGGTAATTAACACATTTTTAAAGTAAGAAATTGAAGAATAGATATTTGGGGATTTAATATAATTGATTTTTTTACCTCCCAAATGCGAAGCTTGGAGTAGTTGATGACGTAATAGGCCATGGCGAACTGGGTTTGGTTCTCCGGCGGGTAAACTGGCTGGATCTCACGCACTATGCAGCCCTGATCCACCAGTATGCGGCGGTGCTCCGCCGGCACATCTGGCAGCACCGCCACGACTAGCGGGTATATGCTGTTGACCTTCCTCAGCCCTTTGGCCAGCCCCACCACGCCTTTCACGTAGTCCCCGTTGCCGGCCAGGAAGGTGACGTAAGCACGGCTGGTCAGGCTGCCGGCTTTGGCTAGACCGGAAGAAGCCCGGTTCAAGGGAGTATTGTTCAAGATTTGAGGAGCCATTTTTCTTTTTTTTTTTACGTTTGGAAAAGTGAAAGGGAATTAGTAAAATGGATTTGGAGAATTGAGAATTCAAGTGAACTTCTTTGTGAAAGTGTGTTTGTTTGAAGTGTTTGTGATCTTTGGGTGTGCGGGTTTATATAGAAAAATTTGAGGAGAGAAAAAAAAAAGAGAAAAATATGGCGTGGAAAATGACGTGGTGACGGTCAAATAAGGTACTATATGAATATACATGAAGCTTCTCATTTAAGGATTTGATCTTGAATAGTAGAATATAAAATGGTTATAATATAATAATGTAGACATTAATAAACAACTATTCTTCAACTGGTTCTGTGCACCGACTTCAGACCAAATCTTGAACGGTTTTCTTGAAATTTAGGATATGGTGAGTCATAAAAGATTATTTCAATTCTAATTGCGTATTCAATATTTATTTCATTTCAAGTTGTTAATAGAACACCCCCTTAAAAAATGTTGTTCATTGCTTTTTTTTTTCTTTCTACCATTTCATTAATACATTAAAAAAGTAAAATTTATTATATATTTTTCCAGCCAAACCATACTCATTCCTAGCTAGTATAGTTCAAGCATAAACTAAGTTACGTCCTACAAAATTTTAATTTTATTATTGATACAAACGAGACGAAACGAATTCGGAAAAATGATCATCTCAATCGGATGATCCAAAACTTTCTATTAACCAAAAATATATATACATAATTAACGCTACAGTTACCAAAATATAACTCAGGGCTAATACAGTAAATACGCAAATATACATATTAATAATTATTAACAATTTTACTTCAGATTCAAATAATTTTTTATTTCATGTAAGCTCAAGATTAGTAACAATATTTCATTGCACTTGTTAGTTACCTTTCCACAAATATCTATATTTTACTTGTTTCTCCAGAAAAAATCACTAACCGAAATATGTTGTTATCCTAGAAACACCTAAGAAAAATATAATCGTTTGGAGTATAATTATATAATAACGGATCGTAACGGTCAACTGCCCAAAAGTGACGTGTATGTCTATAATTTATGGAACAATAATGATGTTGGCAACAGGAATTTGGGATTTGGGAGACAATATTCAAGGTGGGATGGATCTGAGCCGTAGGTGTGAAGAAAACAAGGATCGACGGTTGAGAGTAAATGAATATGATGTATGGGCGGTGCTGAATGAAATTAATTAGTTGGAACATAGTAGAAACTAATTTCCTTCGACCCATCATTAAATCATACTTTAATTACATTACATATGTGTGTGTCGTAGCCACTAATCAAGAGTGCAACGATTATGTGGCGCTATCTACGCCTTAATCGCATAAGCCTAAATATCTTTTTCCCTTCAATTTTACAGCTCTCATTATTTCCT